GGCGGGGAGCATGGAGACTCCTCCACGTGGACCTTAGGTTCTGGGGACGCGCCCTCGCCCCAGCAGGGGGTGCCGCTTCCAGGGCCGCCTCTCAGGCCGGCGCTGTGCTCCGTTCTCCCCAGGATGCCCCGGCCCCAAACCAGACCTCATCTCTTGGATGGAGCAGGGGAGCGAGGCGTGGAGCCCGGCCGCCCAGGATCCTGAGCTGGGGGAACGCGTGGGAGGAGCTCTGCGAGGTGAGGGACCCCGGGTCTCCCCGCACCCGGCACCCGGGCTTCCTGTCCAGCGAGGTGGTTATTTTCAGATCCCCACTCCCCGCCTCCCGAGAGGAAGGAAGGAGCCGCGGTGTTGGTAATGGAGGAAAGGAGGCGGACCTGGCACACAGTTTTCAGAACTTGAGCGTCATCATGTTGAGACCCGAGTAGGGAAATCAGGAGCCCAAGTCCAACACTCGGGTTTCCAGGTCCTTGTGGTGGAAAACACCACCCATTGTCCCTTTTTCAGGAACAACTAAAATCCCCTAAGAATGGACGTGACTTCGAATCCGCCTTTCACGTTCCTCAAGCAAAGCGAGGTAGAACAGGAGGCCATGACCAGCAAGGCAACCTGGCTCTCCCCCCTCCTCCTCCCCACCCCCTGCAGTGACGGCCGCAGACAGGTCCCCTCCTCTGTGCAGCTCTCACCCACAGAAAGCAGGGGAAGCGATAATAGCTACTGCGCCTTGAGCATTGACCAAGTGCCTAACAGGCTCCCACTGATTTAATGGGTCCAACAGCCTCGGAAAGGAGTCACCACGATTCGCATCTGACACGCGAGGATCCGAGGCTTGAGAGATTGAACTGGTTCACTGTCCTTCGAGGCCTGTGTGTCGGTCCCTGTGCAGTATTTCTCTGGCACGTCTTTCCGTAAAAGCGTCCTGTGGCCTGAGACAGTCTAAGCAAATGTGGTTTAAAATGCGTCTTGATTCTTGTTTCCCAGGAGGTACCCCAAACAAGAAGGAAGAGGAACCCAAAGCAGTGCCAGGAGCCAGGAACCCCAGAAAGACTCCCGGGAAGGATCGGCCCGGGGAGCAGGTTCAACACCACCCGGACTGGGCCCTCAGCAAGCCGCCCCCGCCCGCGCCCACGAA